CCGCTGCGTCAGCGTGATCGTTAGCCTCCCCCTCGTCAAACGGCGGGCTGATCGATCTTTGTTCCTCAGGCGTGGTTTTTCCGGCCTCGGGAGTACGTCCGTGAGACGGTGTGCCACGCCGGTCACGTGACATTCGGTCAGCGCCTTCTCTTCTCTCCGCGAGCGTCGGTGGTCGACCCCGTGTGACTCTTTTCATCCGTGCCATCGGCCCTGCCTGGATTGACTCGAGTCCTGCGCGGTGCGCCTGATAGGCTGGATGTAGGTCTATGGCCCTGTTGAGTGTGCCAGTCGAGGACCAACTTTCCAGCATTAGTCTGGCCATTTTATCATCGGCTCGGCCTATCACACTCGCTTTCTCGAAGGAAAAACAGTGATTCCGCTCTAGTGTGTGGCCATACACCAACGACAGCTTATCCTTGCAGTTGATTGCTAGCTGGTGCTCGGGCAATCTTGTGCCGAGGCGTTTTCCCGTTTCACCAACATACCTGGCATCACAATCTTGGCATGGTATGCTGTAGACCACCGCTGATTGGTTTGTTACTGGGAGCGGGTCTTTGGGCCTCATGATTTGCTGTCTGATTGTCGAAGCTGGTTTATGGGCCACACCAATTCCAAAAGGTTTCAGAATTCTTGAAGTTGCCTCTGAAACGTTCTTCACATAGGGGATCGAGTGTCAGAGCTTTGATTTCTCCTCGTTCGACCGCCCCGAGTGGGACTTCCTGAGACACTTGCGTATGAACGACTTCGTGTACCCGTTGGCTTCAAATAGACCACGTAAGTACCTCACCTCCTTCTTCCTGTAATCGTCGTCGCTGCAGTGTGTTTGGGCGCGTTGGAAAAGGGTCCTAACACAACTGCGTTTGTGACCGACGGGGTGGTTGCTTCTAAAGTGGAGGATGCGCCTTGTGTTAGTCGCCTTACGGTAGACCGTCGTCTTTATATTCCCGTCTGCCAGTTTTGTAACTTGTACGTCTAGGAAGGGCAAGCGATTGTCGGCCTTTTCTTCCATGGTGAACTGTATGTCGGGAAATATTGAATTCAAGAGTGCCTTGAAATCTTGCACGTCGTTCCTCTTTATTATGACGAATGTGTCGTCGACATACCTGGCCCAGAACTTCGGAGGGTACGAGCTGAGTACCAGCCGCTCCGTAAGGCTTCTAACACTAGGCGCATCCTCCACTTCAGAAGCAACCACCCCGTCGGTCACAAAAGCAGTTGTGTCAGGACCCTTCTCCAACGCGCCCAAACACACTGCAGCGACGACGATGACAGGAAGAAGGAGATGATGTACTTGTGTGCCCTATTTGAAGCCAGCTGAATTTTCTTAACGAGGAAGGATGTTAAATGATTTCAATTCCTGGAAGGGTGCGGCATTTATACAGCTCATTCTCTGCCTAGAAACAGTGGTTTTTAAGGATGCATTGCCACAAATAAACTGGCGGCATTTCTTGCTGCTACTTACATCCATCCGAGCTTATTTTGCCCCATGTGTGTAAAAGTAATGTTGGCTATTCTAGGAGATTACTGAGGCTGTTTGCGCAAAATTTTCGAAGTTTATATTGCAAAGAGCAAGTGCTGTACAATGTGCATAGCATAACGCACATTGCGGACGACGTGCAGCGTCATGGCCACTTGAATCATTGCTGACCTTCCCTCTCGAAATCTACCTGGAAAGGTTACGGAAATGCTAAGCAAGCCATCGCAAACTCTGCAGCAGGAAGACAGAAGACTGAGTGATGTAGATATGCAGGCGTTGAACTCCATTGGGCCCCGGGACTTAGAGTGCTTCATAAGCACAGTCGTGGTCCACAGCCAAGTGGGTAGGTCTCTGCGAGCAGTATAAATGTGTAACAACTGCGAATCTTAGAGCTGTCAACTCCCTTGCCAACAGATGCATTAACCTGGGGAAAAGACTGTATGTGTTAGAAACGTTCTATTACATTTGGATCGAAGTTTTCATGCAGTCTACGCAGGATTCACGAAGTTGTCAGATAAGTCCTCTACTTGCGTAGCTTTAAAGCTAGCATGGATAATATCCACTGTACTTCTTTGCCAACCGCATTCGCGAAGCTTGCTTGCTTTCCCCAAGATGGATTTTTTTCTTTTTAATGGAAATGATTGATGCTTGTCGTAGACGTTGAAGATTACCACCACCTAAAATCATCCTTTGCAGAATCAGTGCTCGTGAACCCTACAACCGCACAGCCCACATAGCTAGTGGTCTGCGAGCAATGAGGGGTTGAGGCGGTCGTAGAAATAGTATGAGCGTCCTCCCTGTTACCCATTACGTTCACTTTTTTCTATGCGGTTTAAGATTATACTACGAGCTCTCCAAGGGGTTCGAAAAGAGTTTGTATAGAAAAAACCCCTATGGTTATGGGACGATGCGCTGCTACTATCGCCTGTAGGTTCGGCTCAGTTCAGTTTATCAGAGGGAAAGTAGGTGTGTACTTTTGAAATCCTTATTTGTTACACGCAGAGGAAGTATATGGAAAAATGAAACGTGAGTAGCATGAAAGAAAGATAAGGGGAATATCAAAAACTGCACAGATGAGCACAGTACTTCATGCGTAAACAGTATTTGCAGACAAATGAACTCAGTTTTTATTCGATAATCGTGGTCGGTAAAGTAGTGACCACTGTCCAGTTACAAGTTTTGTTACTCGCCGTCGAACTTCTTTGGGTATGCTGAGGTTTTTAACGATCCAGGGTCTCCAAGCTTGGATAGCAAACGTCAAATTCGACCGCACAGATTTCGAAAGACCTTGGCGAAGCAGTTTTCATCAAATGAAGAAAACGCCCGTTTAATGAGATATAGGATGAACGTCGCCGACTTGACTACCTTTGAACAGTGCGGCAAGGGCTTGAGCGAGGTTGTGATTCACACACCCAAGTCCTTCTAGGCGCCGACTACTTTCAGTGGTTTGGCAGTCAGACGGTAGACCGTGCGGTTAGGATTACCGGTTCTGCCAACGCGTAGGAAGTTACACTTGATTGCGTTAAACGGCAAAAGCCAGTTGTTTGATCAGCGTTTGAGACGGCCTAGACTTGTCTGCAGTCGTGTTTCGTCAACCTCATTTCGTATGGTACTCTGAATCTTTATGTCATCAGCAAACACTGCGACTTCGCAATCCAGTTATTTTGCGCAGTCATTGACGTATACGATGAACAGTGTAGGGCCAGGAACAGTGCCTCGGCTAACACCACTCCTAACGGCAACTTTGGCAGACTACTGGTCACTGACGTGGACAGCTTGAGAGCGGCCAAGTAAATAGTTTTGCATCACAATCAGAAGTTTATCTCGCACTTTTATATGGCTGCGTTTGTACAGAAGGCGTTGGTGAGGCACACTGTCAAAGGCCTTCTTGAAGTCGATCTAGACCGCATGCACATTATGTCCTCCATCAACTGCCCGAGTCCAGTGATCTTGACAGTAGAACGAGTTCGTCACAAAGGATCTGCCTTTTCGGAGTTCATGCTGAAGATCGGAAAGAAGATCGTTATTTTCAAGAAACTGCATTAGTCGTTGTTTAATTATTTTCTAATAGTCTTGTGGCAAATGGAGGTGCGGCTGACCAGTCTGTAATTATTTGCAGAGACCCGACCTCCGCACTTATAGTGGCGTAATCTACGCCGATTTCCAGTCGGGTGGCAGATATCCGGCCTTGAAGTATGCATGTGAAAGCATAGAGATCGGCCTTCAGAAGCCAGTCAAGCGTTAAATAACTCAACAGACGGTTACTTAGCTATGAGTTCTACAGGCAGCTGGTATGACAAACGCTATTCCTTCTGCCTTCCTCGTACGAGTCATATCTCGACCTCCTTGAGGGGCGAAACATCGACGATTTTGTCAAACGAATATAATGTGCGATTTTGGCGACGACGTCGCCAACAATGTCAATTTCAAGATGCACAAATGTAAGGTCGCCCTATGAGGTTGGAAATTTTACGATCCGATCACTGGTGAGCCATCGCATATGTACATAAGCCCCCTCCCCACAGGTATCAACATAAGATGGTGAAAAGGCGACTGCACAGACCTATACGAATTTGAGGCTCATTTTACAAAGCACATAAAATGTTCTAGATGCGGCAGGTAAACGACACGAAAGAAGTCAGACTGCTTCTGAAGTGAATGATATGCCAGCTGCATTCATTTCTTACATATACCCAAATATCAGAACAGGCACCTTGACCCTCGGCATCAGCACCGATACGCAAGGACATGTCGTGAATATCAAACGTTGCCGCGGCAGATATTATTTTTTTTATAATATTTCACCAACTTACCATGTTTGCTATATAAAACTAATATAAAATACCCATCACTCTTCTTGCGGCTACTTATAGGTTTGGTTTTGTGTTCAAAACCCTCTGTCTCGGCTAGTGGACGGCAAAACAAGGTACATATATACAAGGACCGGCAGTGAACGTAGTGCATGAGGCCTCATATAACAAGGAAAGGGGTACACGTCAAATATTTAGTTGGTGTACATGGTGCTGCAACCTTCTTTCGTCTATGTCTCTCAATCTCGACATGTCGATATCAGGGGCGTATCGACAAATTCCCAGTGTCCATATCCAAGCCGGTGCCGATCGCTATTTTGCGCGCGTCCTGCCGATCAAGTGTCCCAGTATTTAGGCGCCTGAATAAGTTGACATCTATATAATCTTGGCACTAGCGAAGTGAATTACCACAAACTTTATGTAAAGGTGGGTCCTTTAAATTTGACAGGTAAACCCTAGACGTTCAGCGCGGGGACTATTGGCTTTCCCGCGTATGATTAATGGCCCACTTTTACTCCTGAAATGTGTAACTCTTACGTGCACCGTTTTGCCACCCAGTTGACTGCTTAAAATAGAGTTATCGCTCAGATGGGAAGGGAAACCACGATCAATTCGGGGTTTGACTGGTGAATACGTCGAACCTGGGTCCAATATATATCGACCTGTCGAGATACGTATGTCGTCCGGATATCGACTTCGACCACTTTATCGATATGCTCCTGATATTGGTATGTCGATATTGATCAATGTAGGCGAAGAGGGGTTGTTGCACCGTGCACGCCAACGTAACGTATACTCCTCCCTTTGAATATAGTACTCCAAACATTACTTTTACTGCCGTTTCCTGTAGACATGCGACTTGTTTTACTGTTTATTGGTCGGTGCCGAACCCTTTTAACCTAAAATCGAATCCACCTAACCCGTGAAGTCAAGTGGGTGGTTTTTAGAGTTATTTACTACTAGTAGTAGTAAAGTGAGGGAAACTCATACAAGATATCAGCACTATCAATATTCATAAGATCAAGTCACGTATTGGGAGTGAAGTAAACGACCAGGTTGCTTGTTCTGAAGGTTAGATATATATAGCATACGTATGCAGTTGGCTAACCATTTATTCCCGTAGCCATTTGCCTTCTTTACAGCCTTTTTCCAGCCGCGTTCATGCCTCTCAGTAGCCGACTGCACTGTGTATAGTGTCGGATCAGCTCGCAACTCGTTCACCTTCTTTAGATGAGTTAAGAGCTCGAGCATTATCCTCATTTGCTGAAGCTTAGCTAAGACGTCCAGTTTTGCGTACACCTCATCCAGGGAACTTGCATCATTCCCGTTTCTCTCGGCGTTTTGCACTTCTGCAGCCACAAAACGCCATAGTGAACAGCACCGTCTTACCATTACGGTCCAACGCGGCAGGTGTGGTATCTGCCGAGCCGCTTTCGTCTGTCTGACTTTGATCTGCTTCTCTCTCGTAATAAATTGTCATCCGTGTATTCAACCTACCGGCGATAGTGGTGGTGTCCTATCCCATAGCGGTAGGGGGTTTTGGGTTTTCTTTCGGCACACCCTCTTTGGACGCCTGGGGGAGCTCACCCTGCAATCGACAACTACGTGGGAAAAAAGTGGACGTTATGGGTAACGGGAGGAGCGTTCATCCTATCTTTTGTCCGTCTTGCAGTGTTTGCGCACTACCTCAGTAACTTCACGACATGTTGCCTCCACATCTTGTGCAATATGTCTCCTTATGGCCTGCGGAGATGCCTGCCTCGGCATATTTTTAGGTTAAATGATTAAAACTTGAAAGATATATAAACAGTAGAAATTAAATTAACAGCAAGAGTCACGTTGACAGACTCACGCTTACGCATCCTATGACAGCAAAGCGTAATGGCGTCCTCCGCGCGGCGCACACGCGGCACAAAATGACCAGCCAGTCAAAGCGAAGATGCGAGACACCGGTTGGCCACTGGGGACGAACCGACCACATATCTGGACAGACGGCGACGAGAGTATGGTGCGTGGATAGTCGTTGACCGACAGACGTTATTAATTAATTCATTGGTTAATGACGTTTGCTTCAGTTTGACCGATGTCTCATCTTGATATTTGATTTTATCGAGAAATGTCATACAGGACGTAAAACGTTCAGGTTTATTTGTCTCACGACTAGGTCTGCGACGTGAAGGATAAGCCTTTGGTTGACGTACCTATAAACAAGAGCGGCCTGCGCTCGGGATGCTTTAAGAAACTGCTTACTTCTGTATATGTACGCATACTGGATGGAAAACAAAACTGCCGGAATGAACACCGAGCAATTAGCATAGATAGGGGATTTTTATTTTCTTCCGAACATATTTTAATCGAACAGACAGATTAGAGTAGAAAATAATCATATTTTGGTTTAAGTGAAAAGACCGAGGGCAGGGAAGAGTTTGCATGGCGTAAAAAAGCATGTAGCAGCAACATATGGGCAAATGCTTCATGATCCTTTGTAATAGGTCCACTTCAGAGTTTGCATGGCGTAAAAAAGCATGTAGCAGCAACTTATGGGCAAATGCTTCATGATCCTTTGTAATAGGTCCACTTCCAGGCTGAGTAGAATCGTTTCCTGAGATGAAACTCGGGGAGGCCATGTTTTCAGCCAAGGATTAACGCGCTTCCCAGCAGAAGATACCCATCGACAGTTTGCTTCCCTTCGCGGTTTATAAGATGTTAAAGACGTATTTGTTTACTGGTAAACAATATTCCTCGTCGTCAGTTGGAAAACACGGAATTTCTCTGGACCGAACATTCGTAGTATGCGTGTTGTCGCCCCTGCCACTACCGCGGTAGTGGCATTCCGGATTTGTAAAGACGAGACCGGACTATCTTAATCTGCTAAAGTAGCATTTTATGTTTCACCGGTGGGGGCCCTGCATCACATTTGCTTATAATACTGTCCGATACGAGCACCATTGCTTCCGCTTGGCTTTCCATCTGGCAAAAATCCGTTTTGTATTCTTAGAGAATCCAACGACAATTTTGTCATATTCCATCAGCTGTTGACTTTAATGAAGGTGGGAACTGAGACATCTTTGCGTAAGAGCATGGTTGTTTCGAAATGTTTTTTTTGCTTTTAAAACTGGTTGAGCATACTTGACCACTGTTTGCAGGTTTTAGAGGGGTTCCCTACCCAGGTCAGGCGTCGTGTAGAACATCCAAAACAACTGGATTGAAGTCGGACTTAGAAAGCAACTGCTGTTGTTTGCTCACAAAAATGGGGATATCCATGCTCGTGCTGGGGTGGAAATTCGATGAAGGCACTCACATCTTAGCTTACAGTCCACCTGTTCTCCACAGGGACACTAGTCGCTTCTCGCAGTCTGATTCTTGTAAACATTTTGAGGCTAGACTCATGACTCAACTTTTGGGCTTGTCCAATCTCCTTTTTCAGAGCGGAAGTCAATAGCTCTTATACTAAGACTCACTGACATTGTGTACTGCCAAATTTTCGATTAGGTGGAGAGGCAGAAATACCTGGTGTAGTAGACCTATTGGTTGTCATTGGCCGAGTTCTCGTGAGATTACTACCATGTTTTGGGTGTTTGGTCTGAAGAATTTCTTATGATTATCGGACTAAACATCCGTGGACTTTTTTCATATCTTATCAAGTGATTTACCTGAGTAATCTCCTGTAAGCACCTAAGATTGGGATTTTTCACGCTGCCACAAGGGACATTCTTACTACTACTTGATACCGCTGCGATCATGCGTGATCTAGCCGGCCTCGATGATGTCCCGAGCTGTACCTCTCCATGCATGACGATCCGCGGCAGCAGATCTGGACAGCTCAACCCCACAAGGGACATGCTTAATTTTGATTTCACTGTACTTCTACTCGTCAATGAAATTATTGATACACACCTCCGAAAGTTGCTCTAGGCAAGATAGACAGGATTTAGATTGCCTAACTCCTAATCTTTCCGGTCTCCCACGCTCGTTCATAATTTTCTTTGGCCTCTTTGCAGGTTGCCGTCATGTCTGGCGCACACCTCGTTCAGTACATCCTACTCCGCTCCGACCTGAAGAGCCGTCTTGGCTGGCCTCTCGGCGCTATTGTAGCTCAGGGTTGTCATGCCTCAACGGCTGCGCTGCACAGATTTCGTGATCACATGGAAACCAAAGCATACCTGGAGGATCTCGAAAACATGCACAAAGTGGTCTTGGCCATTGAAGAGTCCGAACTTTCCCTGATTGCAGATAAATTGACAGGGGCCGGAGTAGACTTTGTAACGTGGCGAGAGCAGCCCGAAAACATACTAACCGCTATTGCATTGCGTCCCTATACCAAGAAGGAGGTCCAGTCCTACTTTAAGGGCCTGCGTCTTCTTAGTTGATCTTCATTCTTCAGTTTGTAAATAATTAAACAGTTTTTGAAATAATTGTCTGTTGTGCCCCGCTACAAGAATTCTGGAAGGCATTACTAGGGTGGTCTTCTCAACGATGCTGAACAGTGAGACTCCTCTGTGGTTGTCACATATCTTTCGGTTGCCCTTGGGCTTGTGGATATACAAAATGGTGGCGTCCTTGGAATCCTGGGGAACTTGTTCTTGCTGCCTCATCTCCCGAACCAATGATCTGAGTTTGCTCATCAGTCGGGAGCCACCATGCCTGTAGACATCGGTCGGAATTTCGTCAGATCTCGGCGCTTTTCCATCGAAGAGTACTATGGTAGATGGTGTACTGCCTTGATTACTTCTGGGTGGGAAGATGGGAAATCCAGGCCGCTGCTCGTCTTCACTTGATGATTCTGCTGATGTCCTCATCGGAGGTTGTGGATGGGCGGTTGAGTACGCTTCTGAAGTGCTCAGCCCGACGCTCTAGGATCCGTAATTTTCCCATGAGGGTTGTCTTTCCGCCGGAGTTGAGTAGCGGCATGGTTCCCTTTGTAGAGGGAACGTAAACTGCCTCGCTGGAGACAGAGATTCTTCACATCACTGCGGTCCGCGTGGCCTTGTATTTTTTCATCCTCTCGATCAATCCAAGCATTTTCTAATTTCCGCCGTCGTTTTTGCATCAGGCGTCAAAAGCAAGATAAGGCTACTTTACTCGCGTCGGTTCCGCGGTTTATGTGGGCTTTATGTGGTCTATTCTTTTCTGCAAGCAATTTGCAGATTCCTCCGTCGTCGAGCTAATCCTGGTGTTGGCGGTGTGTGCAACCAAGGACTTCCACGGCGGTGGATTGGATGACGCTCAGCAGTTGGCGCTGTTGTATTTCCAGCCTGCAGGACTTCCAGTTACCGGACCAGTTGATTGGTGAAATCTGGGGGGGGGGGAGGGGGGGTGATCACACACACATTCGATAGGACAGTATTTAACCTACCTGATGGTTGCTTGCCCGGAAGTCTCCTCTGGGATTGGAGTCCGAGTCCAGTATTAGATATGATGAGACGATGATCCGTCCAGACATCGGCATCACAGACCGCCTTTCCCACTAGCACGTCTTAGCGGCCTCGTTTCCGGACAACACGCAGTCCAACAGGGGCCAGCGCCGGGAGCGAAGATGCATCCACGTTGCCTTCTTCCGTTTGGGAAAGCGGAAGAAGGTGCTGGTGAGGAGGAGAAGGAGGAGGGAGGCAACGTGGATGCATCTTCGCTCGCGGCGCTGGCCCCTGTTGGACTGCGTGTTGTCCGGAAACGAGGCCGCTAAGACGTGATAGTGGGAAAGGCGGTCTTTGATGCCGATGTCTGGACGGATCACCGGAGGAGGCGGCGATGGCGGTGTTCTGCGTGAGTTCGTAGGAGGAGGCCGTTATCGTTATGATCGCCGACTCCGTGAGGACCGAGCACTCGGACAGAATGGCCTGTGCTGACGCGGACTAATCAGTCTGTCCTCGTGCACAGTCGCCAGGAGGACGGGCAAGTCTTCATAGGATTGTCCTTTACCCCGTCTGGGCTGGTCATTGGGGAGGGCGATGGGACGAA